CCTATAATTTATACAATTTCATTAGGCGCGAACTTATTTTTTTTTTTTAAATTTTCGAAATTATATTTTTTTTACCTAAAAAATTTTTTTTTTGAAAAAATGTTCCTTATGTTTTATATATAATATTGAAGCCCATGATTTTCCAAACAAAATGGTATATAGAACATTAGAATTAACATTGTTTTAAGCTTCTCAGATCCGTTTTAATAAAACCTTGCAAATGCGCCAAAAATAGGTGGACATTAAGGTCTAAACTATGGACACTTGGAGGGTTAAAGGGCCCCAGGGCCTCACTCTCTAATTATTTCCCTAAAAAGAAAGTTTCCTGCACAACTTTACGTTACTCTCTTTCCAATGACACCAAAAACATGTCAGTAGTTTTGGAGGAGTAATTGTCACAAAAAACCTGCTTGCGTATTAAATAAGTATAGATAAAATAATGAAACACAGCACTATAGAAAATTTCACCCTCTTTAATTTGAGACCTTTACTTTGATTCTACCTTCAATGTAACTTAGCAGGTGAAAACAGTAACTTAATCTTGCAAACCCTTGCATTCGGTTGTGTGTCAGGGGTAGAGCGCACCCTTAAGTTAGGCTACACTTTAGTCCTGTCACGGTACACTTTTTCAAGAGTTGCCAAGTTAAGTTAGTAACAACATAAAAAATAAAACAATTAACTGAACATAAAGTATTAATTGAATGAGTTTATTTGTACAATAAATTTGATTTTTCCTATTATAATAAAATACCCCCCCGCAGCAAACCTGCAGACCAAGCAAATTTTCATTTACCTGGCTTAATTTATTTTCCATTAGAATAACATGGGAATTTTAAATTTTTTTTTTAAATTATCTCCTTAACCGTTAGGCGAACAACAAGGCATATACTAAACTATTTAATCGTTTAAGCTCTAGAAAGTGGTTTGGAAAGAAATTGTGAAATTCTTCATTGATGGGGTCAAAAATGGGAAAAACCAATTTTCTCCCCCATAAAAGTCCCCATAAACCCCTGTTTCCATAGTCCAATCATACTGGTTAGCGAACTCGTTCAAATAGATGTACGGTACACGTTTGTACCAAATGACATCAAAATCGGATAATTTGTGCTCGAGTTGTCACGCTAAACGGACACATATGTATTTCAATTTGAAAGGATGGTGTATTTTACTTCTATGGGGACCTCAAAACAAAAAAGTAAATTGGTCCCCGGTCTAGGTCTTACGATGAGACCTACGGTAATAGCTTATTTCCTATATGGGAAATTCGCTAAAAACCTCGTTGTAACTTGGAATGTTTTCCTTCGACTTGCTGAAGGATATAAAAACAGTATACATATGTACAAAACATGTATATTACCTATTACCAATTACCATCTTCTTGGCCGTTGACCCATCGTATAATGGGAATAGGCTGTGTCTGCGTAAAAACTACTTATTTATTTCCGCACATATGTATAAGACTTAAGTTTAAAATATGTAAAAAAAACATAATTTTAGTACTCATGGCGGTCGCTATGTTCTACTTCAGCTCATCCAAACTACCTTCCAGGATGTTTGGAAACTTTGTAGGGGCTACGCAAAGGCTAATAGATATTTACTTGAACTTAAAATCATAAAACATGGTTTTAACTCTGACTTAATGTCAATGTATTACAATATGGGTTTATGGGGACTATTATGGGGAGAAAATTGGTTTTTCCCATTTTTGACCCCATCAACGAAGAATTTCACAATTTCTTTCCAAACCACTTTCTAGAGTTTAGATTAAATAACATCAATATTTAACTTACTCCCAAAAAGGTGGTGAGTTTTAGCGAATTTCCCATATAGGGAACAAGCTACAGTATTACCGTAGTACTCATGGTAAGACCTGGACCCGGGACCGATTTACTTTTTCGTTTTGAGGTCCCTAGAGACCAAAAACATCAATCCGTTTAAATTCATATATATATATATATATATATAAGTATATATTTATATATGTGTCCGTTAGCGTGATAACTTGAGCAAAAATCATCTGATTTTGATGAAATTTGGTACAAATGTGTAAACCTACGTTTATTCAAACGAGATCGCGAACCAGCATGATCAGACTATGGGAACAGGGGTTTATGGGGGTTTTATGGGGCAAAAATTGGTTATTCCCATTTTTGACCCTAAAAACTTAAAATTTAGCATTTTCTTTCCAAACCATTATGTAAAGCTTAAAAAAAAATTATTTAGTATATATTGAAGCGTTATTATACGCATAATGGTTACGGAGAAAATTCCAAAAAACTGTAAATTTAAAACTCTCATGTTATTCTTAAGGAGAATAAGTCAACTGTTGTAGTTTGCTTGTTTATGATCATATTTTGATCTAAATGCATTCATTTGATACTAAACTACTAACATTTTACAAAAAACACCTTTTTACCCTCCCTGTTGTTGCAAACCTAAGTAGGTACTTGTTAAACTAATGTCATTTAAATAGGGAGTAAATGTGATATTTTTAAGGAGACATTTTAGTGTAAATCCAATCAGGCAAATGGAAATTCACTTACTCTGCAGGTTTGCTGCGACGGGGTTATCTTTTTATATACAGCTGTTTTTATTTTTAAATTTGTTTTCAATGTAATTCTTATGGGGAAAATGCGACCTTTGAGAGTGTCTCGTGCCCTTAAGGGTAAGAGTTTTTAAATTCTAAAACCTTTATGCAAAACTACGAATTGAGACGAATGATTTGACATCTAAAATTGGTCAAGAAATTACGGAGGAGTTTTGTTCACAAAAAACACCCCTCACGTATTAATATAAGACATACGGTACCTAACTTAAAAATTATGTTGTTTAACAAAGCAAAACAATAAGCCTAACCTTAATCCTATAGGCTATAGGCTGCTTACTAGTTACTTAAGTTAAAAAGTTAAAACCAAACTACAGCTAAAAAAAAAAAAAAAAAAAAAACTAAAATCACAAGGTAGGCCTACTGAAAGTGAAATCAATGAGTTAAGATAGTTTGTTAGCCTACTCATACAGATACAGTAGGCCTAAACTAAATAGGAAAATTCCATCTTCAAATCTGATCTTTATGTTTAACTCGCAATGTACACAACCTGTTCTATGGACGGGGATCTTGTTTTATATTTTTGTATTATGTGTGTAACTTATGTTGGGGTACTACAAGGAGGGTTATTTAAGTAACTTCTTCATCAGCATTGTGGGTACGTGTTATTTAATTTACGAAAAGTAAATAAAGATACGTCTTATAACACTTAAAATATATATTTACGCTTATACTGTTACTCACAAGACGGTAAATATACAAAAGATGGTAAGTCTTGATCGATTTTGATTGGACACTCCAATCATCATCAGACCCAATAGGCGAATGACAAGAATCTTGAATGGCGTCCCTACTTATACCCTATTGGCTACCGGAAACACCGGCCAATACATTTTTATAAGTACAACTGGAATCGAAATTTACTTGTTCATTAATCAACTTATTTCCATTTTTACATTTTTCCTTATAAATATACAATTCTTCCCAAGCATTCATCACATATCCCTTCTTACAATTCTTTAAAATACATAGATTATCCTCCATTTTTCCTATTGAGTGTCCATTTTGTAACAGGTGTTGTGCGACGTTTGATCTTTCTGATATGTTGTTTCTCCATGCAGATATGTGGTTTTTGAAGCGGTTGACGAAGTTCACAGTCTGTCCAATGTAGAAGCTATCACAATCGGTACAATTGATTTTATAGATGCCCGATGCGTCGAATCTGTTACAATCTTCTATTTTTGGGTGCAGTATTTTACTCATGGTGTTCTGAGTCCTGTAGGCTATCAAACTCCGTATTTCTTGAATCTGATAGCAGTCCTTTGTGTTTTAGTCCCCGTGTAGCTAAATGTGACATATCTGGTGTTTTCCTCTTTTATCTCTTCTAAAGTTGTTCTGCTGTGTAGTGTATTCTGTCTATTGAGTTTTCTTTTCGTCTTTCTTGCGATGTTCTCTATTGTCTTGGTTCAAAATCCATTAACTTGAGCGATCTTCTTAATGGTGTCCAGTTCTTTCTTCCTATTGGCTTGGCTAAGTGGGGTCTTATAGGCTCGGTACACCATGAATCTAAAGGCTGCGGTCTTGTGGATTGTCGGATGGATATACTTGCTGTTTATTGTAGTGTCCGTTTGCGTAGGTTTTCTGTAGATGTCAAACTCGATCTTGCTGTCTTTTCTCTCTAATGTCAGGTCCAGGAAGTTGATCTTTTCGTTTTCTTCAAACTCATTGGTAAAGGTGAGGTTCGAATGGTGGCTGTTAAGTGTCTGCATCATTGTTTGGTGCTCTTGTTCCTGAGCTTGTCTGAAAATAACAAGAATGTCGTCTACATATCTAACATACAGTTTTACATCATGATTCTTTCTTAAATTTGTTAACATTTCTTTTTCCTGATGCTGTAAAAATATTTCTGACAAAATTGCCAAAAGTGGACTTCCATAGCTAAACCATCTGTTTGTTCGTAAAATCTATTGTTAAATCTAAAATAATTTTGTTTTTACCGTCTTGTGAGTAACAGTATAAGCGTAAATATATGTTTTAAGTGTTATAAGATGTATCTTTATGTTATCTTTACTTTCGGTTATTTAAGTGAGTGCTGTTTTTGTGTATAGTTCGCATGTATGCCACAATGAAGCTCTCTGCCCATCACTGGCATAATTTCTGAACAGAATGATACTATTTGCAGCTTGGGAGATTTGATAGTTTCAAAATTTTTTTAAACACACACTGTGAAGTGTACGTACGTCAGCTACAGAGCTGTAGATGGCGTAATTCTGTTTACAATGTAAGGGGTTGTAGTTTGCAAACTACGGAGCTATACGCAAAAACGGCACTTACATAAAAAAAAACATCTCAACATAGGCTAAGTACATACAGTAACAAACAGTAATACAAAAATGTGTAAGCATTTGCTCCTTATTTTGTACAAATACCTATATCAACTACAATTTAATTTCAGTTCAACCACCTCCGGTGGCGATAAAAGCAGAGACTAAGAAAAAAACACTTCCAAATAGCGTTGAAGACCAAGATTGGTTCAGCAAAGTAATAACAAAATCAGAAAAGAACTGGGAAGATGACCGAAGACAAAGGGAACAAGAGCTAACAGATCTACGCCAGTGGGAGCAAAGACTAGTGGAGAAACAGAGAGCGGTATTGTCTAAGGCTAATGAAGATTTCCTCAAAGGTTTAAAAGGATTAGTGGAAATGTTTAAAAAGTAAAATGTCATAAAAGTGCATACACTTTCCTGTACCATACACCTTTTTTTGGTAAATTGCATTCATAAACTACTAATTAATTGTTGTAATAAATGATGTAAATAAATGAATTATAAGGCCTATTTAATATTTCATTTCAACTCGATTGTTTTTAAATATTAAACCCCAACTTCTTGCTTATCCTTGTGTTAAAATTGTTCAATTATTTTCCATGGTGTATAGCCTATGTTTCAAACAACTTCATAGTTATGTAGTATCTACTTGAATTATATTTTTTCCTAATGGAGAAGATTGGGAGGAGCGATGACGTTGGAGTTGGATAGAGAAGATTAACATGCAAAGTGCTGCATGTTTCAGCGAGCTGCCATTTTCAAACTTAAAGTATATGTCTTTGTTAAATAGGGTAGACAAAAGGAGTAAAAAATAAATAAAGTGTTAAATACAGTACTAAATACTATAATACTACAACTTTTTCATTTTACAATACTTACATTATTAGGGATCCAAAACATCTGTGTGCATCCCAACATTGATTCGACGGGAAAGCAAGCTGGTCTAGTGGTTAGAGCGATCGAAAAACAAATGAAACTTACAATATAATTTGACATAAAAAATTTGATTGGGTGAGAAAGCACTCATTTCACCAATTCAAATTTTAAATACCTGCCATTTTGGCTAGCGGTGACATATTGACTTCAGGTTTGCATTATTGCTTATGACTTTACAACCCCTTCAAAATGAGGCGACACTCAATAGGGGTTGTTATTTGAAAAAAGTCACCACCACCCCCTACCCTTTAGTATGATAAATATTTTTGAGCATCACTCACCTTATTGAGCTCAGGAGAAAGCAGTCCTTATCATATCACAATCATACACAGTTCATTGCACATACACATTGATGATAATAAAAATAAAACTAAATTTAAAATTTCAGACCAAAGTTCTCAACTCCAACGTTTCGCCGCACCAAGATCAACGTGCGGCGTTTTCAAGGTTATTTCTTTTCTCACGCAAAGGTTTTGAGCGCCTAACCACGACTGACCCCCCTACCCTGTTAGAGGGGCTAAAAAATAGTTTTGATGTAAAATGTGGAATCTTTGTTGTCAATCAATGCCACAAACAGAATATTTCTTTCTATTTTGGTTTGAAAAATACAGATTTGTTTCAATACTTAATTTACGCACACTGTATTACCATACAGTAAATCACAAATCACGAAATAGCCCAAAAAATAGAAACAAAATTTTGTCGAGACTAGCTATCAGTGCCACTTACATAAATTAGACACTAAAAACGAGATTCAAAATTTACAATTCCAACTCAAACTCAAATATCTTTATTATTATTTTTGACAGTTGTTATAAACTGCTTATAGTGTTAACAAAATTTCTCTTAAACAAATCAAAACAATATTTTCTTATGGATAAAATCTAAAAACTAAATATCATTGTTTTCTTAAAAAGTCTTCAACACTGTAACAACAGTGTGACAAAAGAAGACTTTTGCCAAATTTGTCCAACCCTATTTTCTAGCTGTTCCTGATCATTGGGCCTTAAATAAATGATCCTGGCTAATGAAAAAGCTGATCTTAGTCAGTAACAAAGCTACACAGATCATCTCACACCATTCTACACTCATCCTTCACTCATATTTGGGTTAAAATACGCACCTAAGTGGCGTCCCCATCTTAATGATTGATAATTGATCTTCAGGGGAATGGGCAGTGCATTGAACAGTTGAATGTTATTGTAAAGTAAATGATTTTCAAATAAAGCAGTTTTGTGTTTTGGAATGTCTAAATCGGACCGGCTTCTCAAACCATAGGAAATATGGTGAGACAGATTTTGAAAAAGGTCAACTGCATATGAAAGAAAAGGAAAAACCAGTCCGTAGTAAGCCACTAGAGAACCACTAGGACTTGATGTCCATGGTGGTTGGAGTCCAAAAATGTTGCCAAATTTCTTAATCTATATACGGTACTTATTTAATACGCAAGCAGGATTTTTGTGACAATTGAAACTACTGAACCGATTGACAAGTTTTTGGTGTCATTGCAAAGAGCATAACATGAAGTTGTGCAGGAAACTTTCTTTTTAGGGAAATAATTAGAGAGTGAGGCCCAGATTCGTATTTCTCCATAAGATTAACATGGGAAATATTGTTGAAACTCCAGCTGTTGTCAGAAATTAAATATTAATAATTTGTCTCCATGGAAGCATGAGAAAATTCACAATGTTTACATTTGCTTTGACATTTAAATGTAAACAACCAGAACTGTCAAATGCCTATTTCACAATTTCAGACAGCTGATCCAAAAAAATTAAACAGCTATATGTGGTAGGTTTATTTAATCTTACACTTTATGATAGATTATTTATTATAAATCTATTTCAATGATTATGAAACAGATTTTTCCCGTTGCGAAGCAAAAATTAATAGTGAGAAGAAGAACATATGTTAATTGTAAACCGTCAATGTGTAAATTATCTATGTTGTATTAAAAATGTGTATGTTTTGGATGTTGGTTTGTGTTTAATGCTATAAGATATTAGTTATTGAATTTTTAAGGATTTGGCATATGAGTAAGCTTATGATAAATAACACCATTTCAGAGGACTGCCAGTTTTTGCCTAACTCTGTCCTGTAGAGTTTAAAGTAGCCTACACCTTAGTGTCTACAAATTGGCTAAATACTTTATAAAAGCTGACAGCCTTTTTACGTTGACTTAAACTGTAAGCTTACCTTTTCCCGTCCATGGGCAGTTTGATTGTTAATAATTAACCCTTTAAACTGGAATAGGAGTGTTATGTAAATTGTGAGTATTTCCATTAGTTAATAATCTTTTGGTTGACTCTTTTAAAATCATCGGAAATTATGACTGTTATTAGTTTTTAAACAAGTTATTTGTTTATAAATAACTCCTGTACTTCTTTGCAATTGCTCGATTTCGAGCAACATGAACACTAGTAAGAATATATTAGAGAACTCAATTTATTACAAACGTGGGGTGTGAATTTCAACTGGCTGTCAATGTGAACGCCCAGGAACTTAGTTTCTAAACAGGATGGAATGAAATGATTGTTGTCTATGAAAATTGCCAGGGGTGCTGTGGTTTTTTTTTCTGACATGAAATTCGATCATTTGAGTTTTGGCACTGTTTACAAACAAGTTATTGTAGCTAAACCAATGTAATATTGAGCTGATCTGACCAATTGCTTTCATCCCGAGGTCGTGCACGCATGCTGCAGACAACGACAATGAGGTGTCATCAGCAAACAAACACACCCTACCCTCAACTCAGACTCAGGCACACAACCTGGCAGGTCATTAATAAAAAGGATGAATAAGACCAGATGATAAGACTATTGCTAGGGATTGTGAAAATGCAAACTTTATTGAACAGTTCTTGTCATCAATGAAATGAATTTGAACTGCCTGAGTTCTGCCAGTCATCCAGGAGTGAGCCATACCTCTTATCCCGAGTTAGCAAAATTTGTCTAGTAAGAAGCCGTGATCTACCGTATCGAAGGTTTTTGCTAAGATCGAAGAAGATTCCAGCTGCAGTATTTCCTGAATCAAGGGATTATGAGTCAAAGGTGAGACTAGAAATTAAATGGCATCGACTACTTCTATTTTTTGTGAAGCCAAATTGATTCGGGGAAAGAATATTGTGTTTATCAATAAAAGATACTAGATGAACCTGTGCGAATTCGCACGAATAATAAATTAAGATATTATAGCAACGTCGTTAGATGTTGCGTAGATGTATCGACGTTGGTCTTGAGCTCGATCGTTGGCTATATGCATTTTAAGTTCTTTTTGCTGTTCAGTATGAGTATTTTGCAGGACGGAGCTCACCATGCTGAAAACTTGCGCGTATGGATTAATAATATCAACCAAATGTTGAGTCAAAATGTGCATGAGTTCAGTGCTGCAAGAGCCATTAGCTTTGTTTAGCATTCTTTCTTGAACAGCGGGTTCGACGTCCGTAGATATAAATTTGGACATATATGGGATGCTCCCCTTCTGACGGTTGAAAGGTGCCAATTGAGTGATAAATTGTGTCGTGCACCTTATACATGTAAGGCCCTCCACCGTTATGTTCTTCAATCGAGACCGTTATGTTCGTTATGCTCGAGTGCTGACCATTGAGAGCGTAGAGTTGTACGATCTAATATTCTCTTTGTAGTTTCTGCTCAAATGATTTGCTCCATTAAGTAGGCTCTGGATATAATAGATTTCTCGGTATGGTGGTAGATTCAATTTTCCTTTATGGCAGCAGGATGAAAATCCTTCGCCTCGTCCTCTCTTTGTTCTTCTTTAAAATGTAGCGCACCACATTTCTGTCATTTTAATGCCATCTCGCCAAGTGAATGCTGCTGAATTCTTGCATTTGTCAGTGTAATTTTGTAAGTACACGTTGCCACTAACTGTTCCAGGTCCTCGTCTGGACTCGATTGCTTGCCGTATGTTGACTCGCCGTGTCCGACCGGCAATACTTCTTATGTCGTCGATTCCTTGGCATGTTTAAACGAAAATATAATGTAAAACGTTTCTCCCCTCGTGTACAGCTAGCGTCAGCTAAGGTGGCTCATGGCGGCCTGTGGGGGTGGCACAACTTTGTTTAAATTTCATTGATGGTAATGATGAGTTTATAACATTGAACATATTATTGCAACCATAGATGAAGTAATATAATTACTAAGTAATATTATATTACTTCATCTATGTTGCAACCATTTTCCGTCACTATTAGCTATATTAGTAAAACAAATCATAAAAAGCGTAACCTAAGCACCCATGCTCCCTAGTTACATTAACAACTGTTCATAAAAAGTGTTTAGAAAGTTTAGTTTATTAATTGTTAATGGACAAAAACATCTAGCATTTTGTATGCCGTCTACTGAAGCGCCTTCAAGAGAGCAGTGAGGGCAGTAGACGCAACCCGCATGACGGCAGACAATATTTTTAACCTAGGCTAGTACAGAATTTCTATCAATCGGTCACGAGCCAGCTTAGCTGACGCCAGCTGTACTATGGGTAACATTTCTTTGCCGGGTTTCTAATTATTTTTAAAAACATGCAAACTGTTTACATTTCAAAACCAAACAAAACAGCTGGGATTTAATTTTTTTTACTTATGTTGACATCTGTTTCAGAATATAATAACATTCAAATCAATCACAATGTTATCCTTATGGAAGGAACTTTGAGGGCAGCCCACGCCCTTAAAAAGATATATTTCGAAAATCTAAAGCCAGAGTTTGCACATCTACACACCTAGACGAACATTTTGGTATATAATATGTGGGGTTAAATCTTAAAACAAAAAAGCCTTATTGTTCACAAAGTTTCATGTCGCGTATTAAATATATAGATCAGTCTAGAAAGAAAAATCTTTTAAAATATCTTCGAAAAGTTGAGACAAGGGAAATAGGACTATAATGGTTTATATAAACTTTTTTGCCCTTTTTGTGAAGGGGCGAACAATTGCATGTTTTAGTTAAGTCGTTTGAATAAAAAGTCTACTTGTGTTGGCTAAACCGTGCTATAACCATTTTAGAGGTTCGATTACTGTAGCTGAGTAATTATTGCTTGCCTAGTATAATCAGAAGCTCGCCAGTTGGATAATGAGAAACGCCATCAGTAGCTTGCTGGGGTTTCGAAACTTGGCCCTGCTATCTTTGATAATATCGAGCCTTTAATAATCCTAACCAATGAACAGCTGATCTTAGTAGTCACAAATATACCAGATACACAGATTATTACACTCCGTTCTACAGTAGAGCGGGTTCTACACTCATATTCAGCTTGAAATATACATCCAACGACCCAAGCTAGCGTCGCGTTTGTTTCGTGAGGTTTCTAGTCAAGGGAGACATCCTACCGGATTGAGGCGTCTCTAGGACCATGTCCTCTTCAGCATGGAAAAACTTACCTCGCTGCCTCAAATAATTGATAACCGGTGATAGTGATAATCTATTTAATATAAAAACATGCACACAAATGCTATATCTTGTATGCTAGTCTCCAAAAACTTGGGACATGGGTAGTAAAATTGTTGGTACCCATAGATCAGTTTAAAGTATAATTAAAAGTACAAATTTCAAAGCTAATGCACAAAGCTAATGCATCTAAACGACTTTGATACAATCTTCTATGCACTTTTAACTTTTTTCCAAATCTGTAATTGCAATACCTATCACACATAATTGTACTCACTTCAATTTGAAATATTAATTATTTTATGGAGATAAGACCAAATCTATGATAAGGCTGTTAGCATTTAAATATTAATATCGATTAATCCATAATCAATGACGGCCCAGGATTAAATACATTTCCTAGAGATATGTCCGTTATCTGTAGTCAATGAATGTCGATCTAGTCAGCTGTGTCAAGCAGAAAGACAGTTCCAAGTCGAGCAGCTCTATTCTGCTGCTAGCTAGCTGAAGCTGCCATTTTGTAGTAGTTTTTCGTCTAAAGATGGATTTTCATCCAAAGTGTACAATAGGTGCTTTTAGTTTAGCAATAATTGTGTTATTTACGAGATCCTTTGCCTATGGAGGTAAGTTATTATACTTGCAGTGTCTCATTGAATGTGAAGTGCATGAATCGTCGTCTAATCAGATTGGTACTTAAAACTACAAGCAACTTGCATGATGACCTCAATTAGGCCTACATCAAAATGGGCGTATTATAGGTTCTTCTCTGATATATGTGATATATAAGTTATTATGTTGTGTGTTACTGACACGCTCCTCAACTAACACCATTCTATAAATCATAATAATTGCTTTGGCTCTGGCCACTCATTACCATCAAAGGCCTTACCCTAGGTTAATTTTAATTAGGCCTAGTTTTCATATAAGTTACGGTACATAAGTTAATTAACCTTTTGTTCCATTGTAACAGTTAACTAAGTAGGCCTACTTATTGTACAGTTTTCCATTACTAAACTAAGCCCAATGCTTCTGTTCCTACAAATTTGTTTGTGAGGTAGAAAATTAAACTTAAAACTTAGGCATAGCCAAACTCAGGCTAATTTTATTGGTAATATACCAAGGGAGAGGATATGTTTCTTATCAATGGTGTTAGGCCTATTTGTTTGTTGTCTAGATATTGTTTTTTGGTTATATACCCTTGCTTTATTAATCTATGTGCTCATTTCTCTTACCTATTTTTGTGTAATTGTTTAGGAAATATTGTTTACGAAGGCAATGCCACTGTGGATGAAGGTGATCCTTTTACCATAAATTGTTTCCTTACCTTGTTTGACCCAGTTCAATGGGAAAAAGACGGAAAAACCATTGTAACTGAACCTGGTGTAACCAGTGATTATTCTTTTCATGAGGAAACAATCAATGGGAAAGTTATGGCTAGCCTAGTAGTCAAAGCTGCTTTACCCCTACATTCTGGATCATATCGTTGTAACACGTTATCCAGTGACAGTCATCACATTTACGTTATTAGCGGTAAGACATCAGTTGAAGAAGTTTTTAGGCGTGATGACCCCATGCTGAATTCCAGGCTAATTAATATTTTTAGGATAGGCTTGATGCTTATAGTTTTCCCAAGGTTGACAAAGTATTTCAGTGATGTGATTATAGGCTATATATTTTTTGAGTAGGCATAGATGACTTTTAACCCAATTTATAATTTTTTAGGATTGAACTTAATTAGAGTAAAGATGTAGACTAACCTTTTGTTGCTTATTTATTAAAACAAAACAATTTTTTGCAAATATTTTAGATTAGTTTTAAGTTACACATAAGTTAGTAAAATATAATATAACTTAGCCTAACTTGAAACACTGATTAAAATGAACATCAATCCTGTATAACGGTACGTCCAGAGTGCACGCTGATTCAGATTAAGATTTTCGGCGACAGGAATGGCACTTGCATTCAAATGGAAGTGGCCGTAGTGGCTGCCGGTTTCCGAGCCCGCTTGCAGGCACCTGCTTACCGGAATGAATTCTTCATTCTGGTTTCAGATTCCGATTCTGATTTTGCTCGTACGCATGGTTAAATAAATTGTGTTTTTATAGTAAATTTTTTTTGTTTATTAGGTAGGCCTACCTATTACTCTTAGGGTTACCGGTACCACTAACTTAAACGGTCTTCAGGATTTTTTTTGTTTATGTAGGTTACACCAGTTTCTTACAATACGATGTCCAATTTTATGTTTCAGTGGTTCCCACTCAACGCAATATAGAAAGAAGCTATATCATTTCTAGCTATAGGAAAAGAGATACCGTATATAGGTAGGCTAATATCATGAACACCATTTTTCACTGGCTGTAACTTCACAACTGTTTCAGACGCCATAATTTTACACGTTAAGGGTCAATCCATATCAAGTCATCCAGGGCATGACACCCATGTTCTCATATTCTAATGATTTTTTTTTCTTGGGTTCCTTTTGCTATTCTAATTATGAATACCAAATTTCATTTTGGTATCTTGAATACTTTTTTAGTTATGAATTTTCAAAAATTGCTAAAAATAAGCGTTTTCCCGTTCCCGCCGATTATTGGGAGTACGAAATTGTTTTGGTAAAAAAATCATTACTCAGTCAGTATTTATCATATCACAATGGGACTTTCAGTAAAATGTTCAGAAAATCTTGTAGAATTAAGGAAAAATATGTTTATGGGGGTGGTCATTTTATGTTCCATCCAGTAATCCATCCAACTTTAATTTTGGTCTAATCTTTAGCAAAGAACACGAAATTTTGAATAATTGATGAAAATTATAGGCACTATGTAAACCAAAGGTATTTTATCATATTTATATTTCTAAGGACATATAAGTCCTAACTGGTTCTTAAAGAAAAACTCTGGGATTTTCACTGACTTAGTTTGTACCTCAATAAACAGAAAAATATGATTTTCATAAAAAAGGCAGAGTGCGGACAGTTAAACCTGTACTAAGAATCAATAGCTACTTCAGAAAGTGTTATTAAAAAAATTATCAAGACCCATTTATAATAAAGTAGAATTATAATTTTGAAAGGCAATAAAACTGAAGTTTAAAAGCACTGACCCAAATTGGTAGGCCTACAATGTCAAGCTTAGTACAAAAAAGACGAGAAAAAATATGTACAGTATTAAGAAAATATGAAAACTTCAATCAATCAATCAATCAATCAAATATTCTTTATTCACAAAGTTTAGACGACAATATGTCTTGAATAGTGTCATTAAACTAACATAAACAAAAATTTATAAACTAAATAATTAAAAAATCATTCACAAAGGATATATATATAGTAAAACTAAAAATGAGTGCTATAACTTTAAAAAATCACAAAATCTTAGAAGGTTACGTCAAACTAGGTACCTAGTAACTGGAATTCAAATGGTCGTTTCGAGATTACAATTTAAAAATTCTTTGATGGAATAAAATGGGTTTCTTATCAACAAGTCTTTTAGTAGGCTTTTGAATCGGTTTGTATTATTTTCTTTTTTAAGTGAAATCGGTAATTTTTGAAGAAATTTTAAGCCTGCATATGAAGGTTTTTTGGTATAGAATTCTAAATTATGTCTAGGAAGGTTAATTTGAAAGCGTGTGTTATATTTACTTGCAGTGGATGATAAATGAAATTGTTTTGCATAAATTATTGTCTCATAAATATATAAACTGTAAACTGTTAATACACCCAGTTCAGGAAAGATATTTTTAACTGAATCTGTTCTTTTTAATTTCATGATCACTCTAATAGCTTTTTCTTGTTTTATAAGTATTTTATCCAAATTTGCCTTAGTTGTTGCTCCGTAAATGGCGATTCCATAGGATATGTGGGAATGAATTAGAGAATAATATATTATCCTAAGAGTTTCCAAGTTGCAAATCTTGGACATCAGCCGCAAGGCATGAATGCCAGATGATAATTTATTTACTACATAGTTTATGTGATTATCCCAAGATAGATTTTCATCAATAACCAGTCCCAGAAACTTTGTTTGGTTTACCTGATCAATTTTGTCTGTTTTTATAAAAATATTAGGTTCAAATGCTGTTATTGATTGTTTAGTTGAAAATGATATTATATTTGATTTTGTTGTGCTGATAAGCAGATTTCTTTCATCCAAAAACTTTTTTATAGGGAGGAGACTCCTGTTTGAGGATTTTTCAATATTTAAATTGGATTTTCCTGTGGAAACAAAACATTAGAGTCATCAGCATACAGACACATAGATCCATCACTGACCGGAAATATCTCTGGTAACCCCTTAATGTAACAGAGGAACAAAAGAGGCCCCAAGATCGATCCCTGGGGTACTCCATATCGTAGTGTCTGCCGCTGAGATCTAAAGTTTTCAATATATTTAGTATTTCTTTTCTCTATTACGTAGTCCACTTCAACAAACTGTTCTCTGTTTTCTAAATATGAAGTGAACCACCGTAATTCTTTTCCTATTATTCCTAATTCATTTAAAATATTTAATAGTTTCCAATGTGAAACGCTGTCAAAAGCTCTACCAAGGTCTAAAAATATTCCAACTACTTTATCACCATTATCTACTGAATTTATAATTGATTCAATAAAATCTATACCAGCTGTTATTGTAGATTTTCCTGGTCTAAACCCGTGTTGCTCCTTATCAAACACTTGATTTGTTTCAAGGTAATTAAAGAGCTGAATATAAACAACTCGTTCAACAATTTTTGAAAAAACCGGTAAAAGAGATATTGGGCGATAGCATGATGGGTCTGCGGTGTTTCCTTTTTTGAATATGGGAATAACTTCTTACCACTAATCCTTAATGAATACAATTTTTGGAGATACTCAATCTGCTTTTTACATGAAGCACTTAATTATGTACTTGGTTTTTTGTCAACATGTTTTGGCACTGTTTTTCAATTAAATCCATTTCTTTTTTCGTGAAATAATACATTTAGTCAGGTTGGGTAGCTCAGGAAAATATTTCAGTTCTGGCAGAGAGGCTGCAATTTTAGGTGGTTATAGTATACAAGTTTCTGAATCTAAAACCGCCCAGACCTTATTATTATTTTAAATTAATTATTTTAAATATGAAGGTGGCGTTGTGACCCATCATTTTAAACTACTTTTTTATGCTGAATTCAATGCCGCAATCCGTTTTTCATTGTCATACTTGGTTTTTGAAATATTGACATTTTAAATCAAAATAATTGTAATATTTTATCAAGAAAGCTTGATAACAAAACACTTATAAAATAATTGATCACATTTAATAAGGTCTGGGCGGTTTTAGGTTCAGAAACTTGTATACTATAACCACCTAAAATTGCAGCCTCTCTGCCAGAACTGAAATATTTTCCTGCTACCCAACCTGACTAAATGTATTATTTCCCAAAAAAAGAAATGGATTTAATTGAAAAACAGTGCCAAAACATGTTGACAAAAAACCAAGTACAAAATTAAGTGCTTCATGTAAAAAGCAGATTGAGTAAGTTATCTCCAAAAATTGTATTCATTAAGGATTAGTGGTAAGAAGTTTTCATATTTTCTTAATACTGTACATATTTTTTCAAGCGTCTTTTTTGTACTAAGCTTGACATTGTAGGCCTACCAATTTGGGTCAGTGCTTTTAAACTTCAGTTTTATTGCCTTTCAAAATTATAATTCTACTTTATTATAAATGGGTCTTGATAATTTTTTTAATAACACTTTCTGAAGTAGCTATTCATTCTTAGTACAGGTTTAACTGTCCGCACTCTGCCTTTTTTATGAAAATTATATTTTTCTGTTTAATGAGTTATAAATTAAAAAGCAGTGAAAATCCCAATGTTTTTCTTTAATAACCTGTTAGTATATGTCCTTAGGAACATAAATATGATAAAACACCTTTGGTTTACATAGTGCCTATAATTTTCACAAATTTTTCAAAATTTTGTGTTTTTTTGCTTAAGAGTAGACCAAAATTAAAGTTGGATGGATTACTGGATGGAACATAAAATGACCACCCCCATAAACATATTTTTCCTTAATTCTACAAGATTTTCTGAACATTTTACTGAAAGTCCCATTGTGATATGATAAATACTGACTGTGTAATGATTTTTTTACCAAAACAATTTCGTACTCCCAATAATCGGCGGGAACGGAAAAACGCTTATTTTTAGCAATTTTTGAAAATTCATAACTAAAAAAGTATTTAAGATATCAAAATGAAATTTGGTATTCATAATTAGAATAGCAAAAGGAACACATTAAAAAAAAAATCATTAGAATCTGAGAACATGGGTGTCATTTTCTTTTTTTGCTGGATGATTTGAAATGGATTGACCCTTAAGTTAATTCCTCAATCCGACAATTCAATAAAAACGACTGACTTGTTAACCGAGGTGACGTATTTCCTGCTTCCACTGTGGACACCAACCAAATTTCTGACTCAGATTAACCAAGCGCTGAAAATCTGATTCTGAATTCGTGTGCACTCTGGACGTACCGTAAGGCTTATTTACAGTCTCAGTGTAATGTTGATTAAATATTTTGTATAAAATTTAAATATTAATTAATCCTAAAAATTTATCCATCCCTTCTTGCCAGCTGTAAGACAGAACTTTGACAAAGCCTAGTGCTCCAAGTAGTAAAAATTCACAGTGAGCTGTAGTTTGAAATGTAAATAGATTACCTATGTGGTTATTGAAGAAACTGTTTGGCATGCTTTAGGTCACAAGTGAGATATCAACGTTTGATAAATAATAAGCTTACCCTACTTATGTTTAGCCTACTTTAAACAAAATCTCCATAAACAAGTCAAACACACTGTTCAGGATTTAATGGCCGCGGAGTGTATTATGATTATAGGCATTCACGAATCACGTTTCCGTAATATTCTATGTTACCAAGGTCACCAGATATGAGTGTGTGTAGAACTCGCTCCTGGTGTAGAACGCCACCATTAGCCCCCTTGGCAACGTCCTAGAACTGCCACCTGCCTACTAGGTTTACTAAATATTGGCAAATAGTGCTAATAGTGGGTTGGTCTTAATGGCAAGAGATTATCAACATGAAATGTTATAATTGACACAACACACGAGTAAATGCTCATCTTAAAAACGTTGAGGTTTCTTCGGTCACACCAAATATAGAGAATTAAAGAATTGCTTTTATTTTAAAATTAGTCGTGTCAAGTACTTTGGTTTGAAATCAGTTGAAAATTAAATGTAGGCTATGCTTTTCAAACAGTTCAGCCCAGTACCCTACATTTTTAATGTAGCAATTTGGTTTAGAAACTTGATTATAAAATTAGGCTACCTTTCAATGATGCCTACCATAGTTCACATGACTGCAGTAGAGTGGTTTCTTATAGCCTTAATATGTAAAGACCAGTTTAATCACAGGAAAGGAAGACTCAGTTGCCATTTGCCATTTAGTTACGAATAAATAATGCTTTATAAAATAAGTACCAACCTTAGAAAGTAATTAAACAGGATTTGTTCCCCACAAAAAATTCTAAATTCCCTATTACATTTAATAGAAAAATATCAAAAATATCTGTTGAACAATCTTATAAATCTTAATTTAAACTTATTTTGATCTGAAAACAAAATCATAATAGCCTATGCATTCCAGAAGTTAATAAAACACAAATATTTTACATTTATATAGGCATTGATTAAACATACTAATCTAAGATATAGGCCTAGGCCTACAGGGTTGTGCCAAAGTATGGACCTATAGACTTAAAAAAAGCCATTTATAAAAACCATTTATAAGTTAAGCTCTTTGCTATTAAACTCAATAGGTCATCTGTTGGCCACAAACCAAATTTAAATTCATCCCCTTGTTAAAACTTGAGCAATGAAAAACATGATAATACTGGTGTGAACCAGATGCGTTCATTTGTTGAATTGAGCTCGGAGTCCAAAAATAACCATACCATTCTGCCTAGACCTTCTACAGTGAAATATTCCCACCTTTATCATCATTCAAGAAGAACACAAACAGTTCGTCAATTGCCGCAAACAGTTATTTGAGAATTTATCTATTTTTCATGACTAAAATATTGCTGATGATTTTCTAAAAAAATACAGCACAGTGTTTGTGAAATGAAGAAAGGAAACAGTTACAAATTGATTGTTTTCAAATTCAAATTGCTTACTCCGTAATTTTAAATGAAAATATGAATAGTAAATAAGTAGCAACAAGAACTAAAAATGTATGCCTTTTTTCAATAATTATCTAATTTCTTGATTTGTTAGTAGAAAATTTATTTCCTTAATTTTTGCCGATTGTAATAGTAATGTTGGTTTAATACTAAATGTGCCACGCTACAAAACGTAAGCTAAAAAAAAAATTGTAGAAAGTAAATAATTCTGTGTAAATTTGATTTTATTCCTAAATAATGGCAGTTTACTTTGTTAAATTATGTTTTCCCACCATATTATTTGTCATCTGAAGCTAAATTTAACGGTAGATAAGATTTATAAACAATTCAAAGTTCAATAGTCCAAATGTTGTTTGAAACAGTTAAAACACTTAGGTTAAAAATTCCATAACTAATAGTCAAAGCTATAACATATAGGAATTTTAATTTACAAATCCAGGATTGGAGTTGGTATTATTGGTAAGACAATCTCCAATTGTGATACATTTTTTTGGTTAATTTTCTGTCACCAAGTTGTATTCAATTTTGGTGTGCAACTTTATGTTAGTAGAGTCTGTGTGCCCATCCTAAACCAGTTTGTTTTGTTCTTTCAGCAAATGAGATAGTAACAAATGCCGAATACTCAAACTACAAAGTTTTAAATTATGGAGAGAGTATGGTGCTGCAATGTAATGAAACAAACCCTTCCAAAGAGCTTGTTGTGAAATGGTAAGCGACCTTGTAAACTTAACAGATTGTCTTTATTTTACTGAGAAGTTTTGGATTTTACGACTTTATATTTTCTAAGTGTAGTTTTTAAAATATTCTATACTAGGACAACAGGATGTAGGCCTATTTAACTTTGTTTGGTCTTATAGTTAACAAAGGTTACCTTCTTCTAATCCTGTTTATTTGCTCAATGTTTGATAAGAACCAGTACAACTGGTAACCTGTCCTTGTAGGCCAAACCCATGACCTTGACAGAATTTCTTAATCTACAAATTTACTAGGCCTATTATTAATCATCTTGTATTGTTTTTGTCAATTCAGTGCTGTTTAAAAGTGCCAAACAAACTCATTCATTAATTTTAGTTAAAAATCTTACTGCTATTTCCCTTTTGGTTGTAAAGTATCCTTACCTTCTCTGTCCTGTCCACACTTTCTACTTGCTATGTCCATTGTCCCCATTATGGTCGTCAAGTGATGTGAGTGCTAGTTCAGTACCATCTCACCTTATTTAGAAATCTCACATTGTCAACACTAATTGTAGATGTAATTTGTCATTTCAGGTTTAAGTACGATACTCCAATCGTCAGCAGCGGGGGGAACCATCCAAAGTATGTTGTCAAGGATAACGAGCTGATAGTCAACAGAGCTCTGGAAGACGATGTTGCAAACTACACTTGCAAGCTGGTCAATTCGAAAAACAACAACAGCGAAGTGGCCAAGTTTGATTTTCAAGTTGTTGGTATGTATTTTCTGTAGATGGCGAGTGACGTTCTTCATCGTAAAAAATGTCGTAGACTATTAACATTTCAAAAGGAGTAAGTCTCAGAATTTACATGCTATTAAAAATGATCCCTTTACAAAACATTGCACTGAAAATGAATCTATTGGACTTAAATACCTGAAGAGAAAGCAATGCAATATGGGTGCTAAAAACATTAGTGTTTCCCGTTTTTTGTAATAATTATCTAGTTGTTCTGTCCGTGTCTCGCCACAGGAATAGAACACATATGGTGACTCTTCACCACCTTGTCCAATGCAAACTGCTGGTTTATTAAGCGCTTGTGCTTGAAGTGAATTAATTTTATCAATGTACATGTCACAAGGAAAAATTACTCCACTGATGCGTTCTTTCCCATTTGGAACATATAAGGCTCCAGAATAGGTCTTATGATAATGCTGATAATGATGATGCTTGTGATAAAAACAATTGTTTGATCAGCCTTTAATTTGCGTCCGATATTTACTTTACAAAACATACAACTGCATTGTAAAAGTTTGCCTAATTGGTCAATTGTATTATGATTATTTTTAAAGTGATAAAATTAATGAATCTGAAATTTGTAAAGTCTTAATTACAATAAATAGTTACCTTGTACATAATAATCCTAATCAGCCAATTTACTTAACTCCTAACTTAATTACATTAAAGTAACTTTCACCAGTAAACAGTTATTGAAACAATTCCCAACAAATTAAACAAGGATTAACTACACAAATTAGTTTGTTAATTCAAATATAGGCCCCATTCCAAACAATCAGTTATCAAAATTACATACAATACATACAATTACATACAATATTAGCCTAAATAATTTTAGGAATAAAGGTATAAAAACTGGAAAAGCCACTGCACTTCATCCATATGTAACTTACTTGATTTAGTTTGACGTTAAGAGCCATTAAAAGTTTGTTCAAGGCCAGTTTTAACATCCAGCCTTAATTTGGTGTTTTTAGGTTCCTTCTGATAGGTATTTTCCTGTAACTATTATCTGGCCAAGTAAATAAGCCATTAGTAATATACAGGCAACCAGTTTCAAAGTCAAAGTCAAATCATTTATTGCCGCAACACATTTACAATGTATGACAACGTCAAAATAGGTACTGTACAACAAATTATTTACAAATCAAATGCATCAGTCCATTGATTTACAATTATCAATGAATTCATTCAAAAAATATACAAAGAATATATCTTTATGTTTGATTACAAGTGCCCCAGGACCTATTGTTTTACCCCAAACATAGCCTACTAAAGGTTGGTCATACTAAGTCCACATTTGAACACTCTGACCTCGTTGTCTTTCCTCTTATGTTCAAAATATAAAATATTATTCAGAAAAAAACGACAAAGACTATTGCCCTTAACATTATTTTTTTATTAAATACATTCTTTTTTCTCAAAAATCCCATATAGGGAGGGAATAAGCTATTACTGTAGTAGGTCTCATGGTAAGACCCTGGACCCAGGATTAATTTAATTTTTCATTTTGATGTCCCCAGAGCCCAAAAACACCATTCGTATGGTATGTAATGTGCAAAAACGTCATTTTGATGTAGGCTATATGTTAGTTGTCTAAGTTAGCTATTCATTCAAATTATTGTTATTTAAATAGAAAATAAATCTGAGTATTTTAAGGCGATATTTTAATGGGAATCGAATCAGACAAATGGAAAATTCGTTTTAATCTGCTGGTTTGCCATGGCAGAAGTGTTTATTTTAAGTGTGTCTATTAAGAATAAAAAAAAAAAAAATAAAAAAAGGAACAACAATAATATGGAGGATTGTTTTTTGTGACAAGAAATAATAGATAAAATTATTGATTCTTTTCATGCATTTAACTATTTTTAAAAGTCTACAGTTAAGGAGGCCTCCATCGTCAACAGGGGAATGTTATCACCACTTTCTTATCTATGGTTTATTAATTTGCTGTGACACAGTAAAAGCAATCCATCATAAATTATTGTAAAGTTACCAAAGCTCTTACGTTAATCTCACTTAAGTCACTATAGAAGTGTTTAAATAATTTTTTTGTAAAGTTGTTGGCTGAACAAGTATTTAAGCCAATTTTCATAAGTTAATTCATAATTGTGATGCCATGGGTTTTGGCATTGACTATACTATATACAAAGTGTACACTTCCCATCCAATGTTAAAATTTGAAGAAAAAAAAAAAATAGTGCAATCTGTTGAGATGGTATACCAACTAATGACAATATTTTGTGTCAAGTGATAAATCAATCAGCTGTTGGCATAATCTATATAATTAATACGCTACATGAAACTTTGTCAATTGAACTCCTCCGCCATTTCTAAACCGATTTTACCCATTGACGTCTCATTGGAAAGAGCGTGTCGTGTAGATTTGCAAACTGGCCTTACATTTTTGAAAAAGTCCCTTGGGCTCTGCCCCAGTGGCTTTGAAAGTTCCCATGTTATCCTTATGAATAACATACTTGTTTACATGTTGATAAGCTGAATAATTTAACTGCTGTTAATTATTTTTCAATTCAATGAAACGCATTGAGTACATTTATTTACTATTTGAGTTTGTGTAAACATAACCCCCAAAACAGATCGTGTTAGTATGGTTGTATCTTAAATTTGTGTATATGTATCGTTGTTTTGTGTCGCTATGACGGATCGTGTTAGCATGATTGTTAACACAAATTTTGTATAAATAAATTAAAATTTATTTTAAAATAAATTAAATTTATATAAATAAATTTTGTATTTATCGTTGTTTTGTGTAGCAATAATTAGTTTATTTGTCGTTTTTTTCTTTTAAATACCTCCGACGCAACGACAACGAAACATATACAGGAGGCGTATTCGTGATAACGGCCGCAGCTACAGAACAGTGGCGCGTAATAGGCTTAACTCATCACAGTCAGCACCTGACCCTGGACCATCTCAACTATTATAGGTTACAAATGCGCCCTAGCACTACCCTAAAACGACTTTTAGTTCTCAATTGGCCCTCTATCAATGACCTGTGTTGCCTGTACAGCGAGGCATTTTGAGAAGAAGAAAACCGGCCGGAATGCTTTAATTTGATCAATAACGAAGATAAACATGGTCTGAGTTACACACACCGGTAATCTTTGAGTTGAGTCTTATAAACTCATTGTAAATATGACTGTTATTCGTTTTGAAATAACTCATGTAATACTTTACAATTGCTCGAATTCGAGCAACATGTACACTAGTTTTTATTAATATTGAACCCAATAAACTATTCTCTGGTGAGATGGTTCTGAACTTCATCTGTTTTCTTGGCTTCAAATTTTTAATGTTATAATGTTTGGTTTATATAATTTTAAAAATATTCTATATGATTCTTCTACTGATTTTTTATTTGTTTTAGTTATTTTGTTACATACTATATTTTTTACCCTCATGCAACCTTTGAGGATAAATTACTGTAGTACCATTTGCATTTACTGTCTTCTTATTTCTGAATTTAGCCGTTATTAAAATAGACTGTTCCTTTTCTTGTCTTAATCTGGATTTAGCGTGGATTTACATTAAATGTCGATCTAATGTAGACTAATGTAGACCTAATGTAGATTAAATGTAGACTTATTAATGTAAATAAGTATGATTTTATTTTCCAAGATTATTTAAAAATTTTTTGGCATTTAACTAATTTCAATTTGTGACTGTTTCACCAGGCAAACCATACGTAAAACTTCCAGAATTTATCACGGTCATTGAAGAGGAGAAACTGAAGCTAGAATGCACTGTTGTTGGCAGCCATAACCCATACGTGGAATGGAAAGTCGGTAAGTTCAAAAGTGAAACATGTTTTAGAAACAAGTGTTAAAAAAAATAAATAAAATTTCCAATCGCTGTCATAATTTAAAAAATGGTAAAATCATTTAAATCTTTAAAACTTGGCTTAGAGTCAACTAAATAACCCCTAAACAAGTTAACATGTAAGCCTTTTTTATGATTCACAAGAGTGATTATTATAATTTATTATAGAGAAGCTTAGATTCCAAATCTTAATGGCTATAGCCACTGAATTACTAAGTTTCAGTCTGTAGGTAGGCATAGTATATTTACATTCAAAATGTCGGATATTTTACTTGAATTCCAACCAGAAGAGCTCATATATAAAAGTGTACTAGTGTTACATTAAATTTGTACCTAATACTTTTTACATGTTATCTTACGGGAAGTGCTTAGAGGTTTTTGTTGTAAAAGATCCTTAGCTGCATGTCACCATGAACACTCTGGTCTGAGCAGTAAGTCACATGAACAAGTCAGAGGTCACTGCGGCGATAAGATTGTGCAAGGCACTGCCGCTGAGGTACTGTGTTCTTTAAGTATGTGGTAAAGTACAGTACAGTAAAACTTGTTGATAAGGACAGTGGATTGATTACAGCCCAACAGGTCAAAGTAACCGGTAGCCATATCCCCTCCTCCCCACAAAAAAGATACCAAGTTGATGGTGATTGATTGCAGGCAATGAGACCTATGACCAAAGTGAAGGCCGTGTGAAGCTGTCCGTAGACCCGGTGCGAGGAGTCAAGAACGCTCTGTTGGAGCTTGAACCTGCCCGCATGTCTGACCGTGGTACAATCAACTGTACGGCCCACAACATCGCCACCACGTTTGCCGAACCTAATGTCGCATCTACCTACGTCAGAGTGAAAGGTAAATTAGGGCCAAACATACCGTTGTCAAGGCAAGCGGCATTCAATAACATATGGTTGGGTGTTTGACAAGTAAAATTAAGTTGAGCCAAAAAATTTAAAATAATTGCTTTGTTTCTATTTTAGAAAATTTCTAGAAAAGAATTTTAACCTTCTAGAAACTCTGTAGAGGTAAGAGGTAACCACAAATAAGTGTACACTACGGTTGTCATAATTTTCAAAATTAATGTTTCTAGCCCCATCAATATTTTTCAAGACGAACAGGTTTTAACTTCACCTCAGTCAAAAAGTACCCCATACCATGGTTATTCATAAGTTGGATCAGACTGTATGTTTTGTTGTTGCAAGGTTTGAAAATGTTTCTTTTGCAACAAAACCTGTAATCTGATTAAACTGAAGAATAATTGAGGGAATATCTGTCTGAAGTGAAGCAAAAACCTGTGTTATCCTGTGTTGGTTATAATTTACTCGGTCGGTCTGTAGAATAGCAAATTAATTGATTGTCACACTTTACTGTAGATTTTATTCTTACTCTGTTAGGTATGTAATAAATTTACTGTTGACAATACACCTCTACCAAACTCATTTACAGTTTGCGGCTAACCTAGCGGCATAGTATACTAAATCCGTAAAAGAAACAATAGAAGTAGTAAATCAGTTTGGGACCATCATTTAGTGTTAACATTATTTTTTCGTGGTGCTCGCCGTTAATAGAAAGGTAATCTTATCAGTGTCATTTTACTCGCTTGTTTTAACAGGTCATGAGGTTGTATAACAAAAATAATCGTATTACCAAGGTACCATACTATATTATTTCGTGATGTTTATCGTTAATTGGAAGACACAATGAACGTTAAATCACTTGCTTGTTCTAACAGCTCAGATGGCATTGCAAAAAAATTGTATTACCAATGTACTATATTATTTCCTGCTGCTCGTTGTAAATTGGAAGACATGATGCACGTTATTTCATTTGTTCGTTCAAATAGTTCAGACTACATTACAAAAATAGTTGTATTCTAAGTTATCTATAATCAAGGTACTATTATTATATTATCATGCTCGCTAAGGAGACGCGATCAGTGGGATAGTAAGTTGATTTCATTTGTCAATTTAAACATTAAATATCAGGTTACTAAAATAATAATATGTTATTTTCAATCATCTATTATCAAGGTATTTTGTTAAAGGGTTTTCTTTGAGGGAGAGGTGGGAAAATGAATTTACGCGCACAGTTGGTTAGCAAGAGAAGTGATTGAAACTCTCGGCACACTCAAATGCTCTTTGTACCTCGGATATCGCATTGATTGTTGACCGTCCCTTTCTGAAGACTTACTGATTGGGAGAGAAGTCTCCGGCACCTTCCACGGTCGACGACAGCTGGGAGCGGATAAACTTTTCAAATTGTTTTCTGGCTGTGTCCAACATACAGAGGTCTGTCTTGGCCTGATCACAAGCCAAAAAATCAGTTCCATTGTAGACGTTACCAATGCCTTGGCGCCAACCGGTGCATCAGGATTAACCAACGCTCCCTGATAAATTACCTCGATGAACTTCTCATCATCTAGCTTGTCTGTATTCCATTGACGTGGTCCAAATCGTGATATGGACGCTCATCAAGTATATGGAAAATGATGTACTGATGATTGCTTGCCGTGAGATCTTCAATAACTCTCCAGTTAGAGATCCACTCGCAAACAAGAGCGAATCTCAAACAAAGGAAATGTTGGGGATCATGCCTCTCTTCCTGGGCACCGGAAAGTAGGCGAGTCGCTCTTGTTTTTAAGACGAAAAGTCCGGCTGTGGCTAAAAAGTCCAGGATGTATTGTAGGGAGTTTGTAGATGGCATTCCCCACTCAAAAGCCCTCGCATAAAATCCCCAGTGACGAAGACATACCCAGTAGTGACACACATAATTTCCTCTAGGGGGTCAATCTTCAGACAGAATTCCCAAATGGGCTCATTAGGGGTAAGGTAGACACTGAAAAACGTAACGTCCCTTCACCTGACCCAAACGAACCCACGACCGTGTCCGTTATACCGCACTATTAACAAGGGCAATAATAATAATTATAATAGGCCACTTTAGTAATAGTATTACAGTATTTATCCTATTGTATTAAATAATGCCCACCTATAGTGTGTAGTCAACGCTTGCACATCTTTACTTGTACACTTGCCATTGCTTGTAGATGATCACTTGTTCCTAGCGCAAGCTGCAATGTCAGTGTGATACATTGGGTTTACTTACAGACAAGTACGCCGCGCTGTGGCCGTTCCTGGGTATCTGCGCCGAGGTCATTGTCCTGTGTACAGTCATCTTCATCTACGAGAAGAAGCGCAACAAAGCCGAGTTGGAGGAGAGCGACACGGACCAGAGTCCGGAGCAGTGAGTTTTGTAATTGTTTGACACATGAATTATAAATGGATTAGTCAGGTCTAGGAGTAATTTTAGTGTATACCATATAGTGACCATGTGTTTCTGCTTTTAGCTCGCTGAATCTGCATTGATGCGACTTAATTGATCCCAGTCGTAAAATGTGCTTGATCATTGGAAAAGTAGTTTTAGTGTATACCTCGTCAATAGATTCTGCTTTAGCTTAAAGGCTTCATTGATCCAATTTGTATTGATCCCAGCCCTAAAATGGTTTTTGTCATTAAGTCTAATATCCAATCCTTATTGCAGGTTACCCTATATCTTTCATTTTGTAATCTGTCAGTGCCCTTAACCCTTAGCTGTTTGAGATTACTGGCTGGTGTCGGTATTTAAATTTTAGCCATTGTTGGTTTTACTATGTAAATTAACAATAACTTAGTCAGATACATAGCCCTCACATTGTCCCAAAGGCATTTTTTTCAGGCACCCATCACCTCTGAACCAGCCCCTGTAGCTTTATAGATAGTTTTATCTAGATCCTTATTTCAGGACACGCTTTGATCTACGAATCCTGCTAGTTATACTAGATCTTTATATATTATGCAAAGTGGTACTTTCCTGTTAAAGGGAACATTCATTATTATCGATGATTTTTTCGATATATCGATATTTTTGTTTTCCGATCCATTACAAAATTGACAACAACTAACTAACTGATCTTGTTTAGGCTAAAACAGTCTATTATATGGATTAAGAAATGAAACTGTGCTAAGCTAACCTAACATAACCAACCAAACTTGCTGTACCATTTAAAAACTCCGTTTGATAACAGAAAAGGCAAGTTAAACACGGAACTTTTAAATGTTACAGCAAGTTTGGTTAGTTATGTTAGGTTATTTTTTTAAGAACAGTTTCATTTTATTATTGTTTGTTGATACTGGACAATATTTATCGTAGTTGTCAGCTGATATGTTTCAATTTGTTAATATCGATAAAAAATGTTCGAGAAAAAAACCATCGATAATAATGAATGTTCCCTTTAATAGGAAAGTACCTGCAAATTTGACCCTGTTTGGAGCTGTCACATCCAATCAAGGCAGCTCAAATCTGACAGCCCTGTGTTCTTTACTTCATCCACTAATATTTTAGTAAATTAGTAGTCTCATCATAGTAGCTGAAAATGATTTGACAAAAATTACATAGAAAACAAAAATATGAATCGTGTCGTTCTGTGATTAGGCTACTTTTTTGTTGAAAGAGTATTAACTCCTTGAAATCATTAAAATCCATTGCCATTTGAAAATGTTTAATACAGTGGTGGCTTAGTTAGTTCATATGAGGCTGTACACACATTTGCACAATGATTCGTTCACAGATGTTCTGAGTTGGAACAGGCTTGAATAGTAGGGAATGAAGTAAGGAACAGGTCTCAGATTTAAACTAGCATGCTTGGTTACGAATTACGATGGAGACCGTAATTTACAGACAACCCTAGTAGATGAATATTTATTTAAGAAAATTGTTTCTCATTTAGCCCCGCTCTCTCCAGGATGTATTAATGAAACTGGAGGGAGATTGCCTAGGTACAGATTACGGATAGTAAAGACTATGAATGAAAATGTAACTGAAAACAGTAAAGGACAGAATTAGTATAATATTTAAGCCAGAGGATCTGATAAAATCTGGAAATGATGGAAATAAAAATGTACAAAAAAAGCCTGCTAGTCTAACATCCTGATTGTATGCAGGAATTTGCAAGAAGAAAAATAGAGTTTGGTGAGGTAGCCGCATCACACACCTTATAATTTCTGGATTATTGGTTAGTAACACTTAATAGCAATGTTAGGGAGACCAAGCTACAAAACCAGTGTTAGGACTGATATTAAAGTATTACAGAAGTATTCCTAACCTCAATGTCAAACCAGCTGGTATGTAAATAATTTTACAATGCATGTTAAAACAATTATTTTAACTTTAACTAACTTATCAATGTCCCTTCCTTTTAAAACCAAACCCTAAAAGTTAAGACTGAAAATTAAATCAAATTATAATTATCTACTGGAAAACTCAGCCAAACATATTCAATGCAGCGCAGTATATTGGTTGACAGTAAAAGTTATAAAATAACTGTCTAGAGTAAAGGTCGTCCTTTGACTCTGCCATACTGTACAAAAATAAATTCTTCCTGCAAACTCATTAAAAAGCTTGGCCTTGCGAGCTTTCTTGAAAAGCTTGAGTTGAGCTTAGAACTCAAAAAATCTTTTGAAAATAGTTGACAATTTGGGTACTGACACACTCCTAACTTGTTGGTAGTGCATGGCAATAATTGTACCTTATTGCTTATTGCACAGTAGTGTCTGACCTGTGGTTATGATTGCAGGAAGAACACCCCGGACCATGGCAAAGATTCAGTCCGGCAGAGGAAGTAAACGGGTATCACACCAAGACACTCGTCTCCGTCATCCAGTCATTCATTTTAAACATTTCGAATGTATGATAAATCATGTTACCCAGTGCCGACATTTGAGGTATAGAGTATTGTTGAACCTTTTATTATTTATTTTTGTATCCGGTCGCCCGAAGTCATCGTTTGCCGTTTGACGTCACCGGTAAATGTAAACTTCCGTTGTGGATTGTTGAAGTACAAATTGTTTAGTTTTCAACACCGTGTAGCTCTATGCGCTCGATTCCTTGGTTTCACAAACTCGTACGAACGCTTTAAACTGTACAGCCACCTTTTGTCATTTGGGTGTTACTGTTTTTACGAATCATTCATTATACACTATGACTACTGTATTCTTCTTTAGGAATTAGGCCACACTTTGTATGTAGATGCTTCGAGTGATGTGTATATACAGCAATAGACAAAGAGCACTTTAAACAAACTATTTACGATGCCTTGTTTGTATTTGGTCGGACCAATGTCTGAGTGCTAGTTTCTAGTTTCCTTTATAACACCAAGAGAGGTGTTTGGTGTTGTAGCTTTTAAGTTGTTAGGCTAAATGTCGTCAAATCAGAACAACTCGCCCGACGCTTGGTTTTAGAGTCAATAGGCCTATTGTTGTTCCGGGTATTTGCACAACATTTTGTGTTTTGTCTAAATATAAGACATTTAAACATCGAGGTTATACAATTTTATTATTTTTATTCTTAAGTAAGCCACTATTATTTAGAATACTTCATTATTTATGTTAGTGTTGTTTTAAAATTTTGCTTTTCGCTTTTCTATTATTTAATTTTACACATTTATGTAGTATTATTTTTTATATTTTAAATTTTTGTTTATAACAGGGAATAACTGTTTTCAAATTTTTGTACAGAAATCATATTAATTGTAATACTGTTTGCATTTAAATCTCTTTATAGTCATTGATGTAGTTTAATAATAAAATGTTAAAATTTGTATCGACTCATTTGATAGTTATCACTTCATTGTTGTTGATGTTTTAATGTTCTATTTTTAAATTGTAGCATTACAAAAATTACAAAATAAACTTATACAAAAAATGTCTAGTGTTTTTAACAAATTTAGGTAATAAATTTTAACTCTTTAAACGCTCTCTAAAAGTTGTTGCATGTATAAACAATGAATTTGGAAGAGGTTCTGTCTTATGATTTCTTCCAACTTACAAGAAGGTTTCCCCGTTTAGACCCCCTGTACAAAGTCCCGTTGTATGTGACATTCACATATGTGATCATGTAACATCATAATGATGAACGCACCTCTCCATGTTCATTGTGGTTAACCGTTGTAAAATTCTTCTCCTCGAGTCGGTAGTAGATTCTTATCTCAATATTAAAATTTTTTGTGCAAACTCAGCTGTATTGTTTTGGATATTTTCAGAGTGCAGAAAAGCACGAATCCAAGCAAGGTTTCGTATTTGTTATTGTTATCGCCTTAGGGTTATAGTATTGTTAAAGTTTATACAAAATCTTACATACGGGATGTTATTTCTGTACACTAGTATCGTGTCTTTTTTTAAAATTGTTTTATTATAAGTACGTTGTACTTAAAGTAATATAAATATCGATTTATTAGAGCTATGTAGATAATGTATACTGTGTGACCTAACACTATAAATAAATTACCTATTAAAGTTAGTTACCACTCTGGTGTCAAGTCATTTCACATTCGTTACACCTTATCTTGATGGTAGGCTTTGGTACACGGCCCCACACAGAAACTACCTATGTGTTTTCTAAACTACAGAACCACATTTGTAGCCTATGTTTAAGCCAGGATGTCTGCAAAACACTTTGAACACTTTTTTGATGGGATGGCAAGCATAGCAAACCAACCATGTAAGCACTAGACAGTCAATCAACCAGCAAGTCAAATCAACCATTGGAAGTAGATATGCCTAATTCTCACACAATCATGTCCTGTAACCAGTCCCATTATCTGCACTTATTAACACTGGATATCCTAGAGACAATACTTCTTTCAGTTACAGTTAACACAGAGGAAGCAGCTAATGGGCTGCGTGGATGAGTGCGCGAAAACGTTTAGATTTAGTTTTGACCGAATGAAAGGCATATTATAACATGTTCTGCGTCCCAGTCGTAGTTTTACAAGAACCCAACTAAAGATGAATGCAAGGCGAGTGTGGAATCAAGTGAGATGATCTATGAAGTTTTCTACTGACTAAGATCAGATGTTTTCATTATTCAGTAGATGAACTGCTTGGAAAATAAAAGAGAGGATCTATGTTATCTACGATAAACTTTAAACTTTTTACAACCATAAAATTTGATTCAGGATGTTTTGCAATGAAATGACAAACACATTAGACCATCTGTTACAATGATCTTTTATATAGGCGAAACAGTTTTTTTTTTCAGAAGGGTCAATTTGTTTTGGAATCACTTTTGTATTTACAAACACTAAACAGACAACTATATTAAATTGTAGTTAATTTAAGCATCAGTGGTTCCCAAACTAATTTGGTCTGGCGATCCAACTACATCTTGCATTTTCTTAAGCGACCTAACTTTGAATAATATTAATGATATTATGTAAAATTATACTCAGGAACATGCAAATAAGATGAATTGTGGAGATGGTTTGATAGAAAATAAAATATTTAGTCCAAAACACTATTAATTTTGAAAATTTAAATCATCAAGAATTGGAGTGTACAATTTACAGGAGGCTTTATTCATGGGCGCCCACAGGGTGGTGCAAGGGGGTGCACTTGCACCCCCCTGCACCCCCTGGCTCAAAAATAAGAAATACATTTAATACCCATAATGTTCTGTAGTCAATTAGTTTTTTTAAGAATTTATAAAAGTCGTGTCTAAGAAACGTTTTAAATTGATGTTTAAATCAAACTAGCTGTTACCCACGGTGTTTGACTTCATAAGTATTGATTGATTGATTAAGTTAAGCCATATATAAAACATACCTCCATTAGTAGATTTCTCATCCTTATGGAACAGCTGAATTTTATTGTTTGTTCTGTACTTGTTTCCCGTTATTACAGTAAATTAAAACCTCGTTTAACCAAATAATACGATCTAACCATAAACAATTACTTGTCCCCTAGTTATATAACTAAACAGTAAAGCAAAAATCAAGAAATTAACCCTAAAATAACAGAAACAAAATTTTGTCGACACTAGCGCCCAGTGTCACCGTACATGAACTAGACTCAAAAAACATGCTTCAAAATTTACAATGGGAAAGTAAGAGTCTGCGGAATGTTTTGGATCCAGTACTTTATAAATGTAGCCTACTTAAGGTTGCACTTAATATGTTATGTCTACATAACACTAAATTGCGGGTTTGGAATTAAAAAATACTAGGTGAAACCCGTCGAAATCGACGGTTATTTTCAAGGCTTACGCTAATTCATCTAACTGTGATAAGTTGAGTGAAATTATACATATTTTGAGCATTTAGCAATGTTTAAAGATTAATAAGTGTAAAAACAATAATGATATTAATTGCGTTAGTTACCAAATATGGTTGATCATTCAATGAATAAAATATTTCCCATACTATACGTCATCGGAGTTGTTAGTATGCTATCTGGTATCTCTTCTTTTGGAAGAACCGTTAAATAGTATTAAAATCGTATTGGTGGATCTTTGTACTTAAACACTTCCGTGATTTCATTGGTGTAATGCAGATTAATCTATGATTTTATTTGAAAAATAAATCTGTTTGTTGGGAAGACACGTTCTAACTTCAAAGAGAGGTATATCCGTTACAGTGTAAGTTTGATTTTCCTTCGTCACGTCGCGTCAGTTCGTATCGTACTTTTAAGCCAATGAATAATCCTCTAGCACAGTTTTGAGAAATTGGTTGTGGGGTTACTGTTAAAGCTGTGATCCTTGACATGGGGGATGTCAGTTAGTTGTCTCAGTCTTATCAGTTACATAAAGCTGTCAATATAATCTCTCAACGGAATGTTAGGTGTAGTGGAATATACTTGAAGTGAAGTTGGCTTTTATTCTTGAACTTTAGGGGCCTCCTCATTTATATAGTTGTGCAGCTTCATTGGCAAAAAATAATACGAATGACATAGTGATGGGGAATTTCCAAAAAGCAAAAAAATAATGTTAATTGGTTGTTACCTGTAATCGAAGTAACCTCTCTGAAACGTCTGCAGTATATTGCAGTTTTCCAGCTTAATGACTTTCTAAATCATGCACATATTTCTAAATAAATATTGTAAAATGTTTTATCCAGTTGCTGTAAACCATTATTATTTTTTTTAAATATGGACACAGCTCAATTTGGCACCGTGCCCTTCTGCACTTGTATTATTTTGTATTGTTTTACACAATCGAAGATTTTTACAATGATTGAAAGCATGTACAGTATGACAATAATCTCATGAACCTATGATGATCCGTCTAGAAAAATATGATAAAATATAGGGAAAAGGTGTGAAAGAGGCAGAAATCAACCTGTAAAATAGATAGAAGATAGTTCAATAAGAAATAATTGTAAGAGTTAGTGTCATAAAAGGATTTTCCACTGATTTCGTAATGGAACTTTATATTGGAACACATGACATGATACAGAAGAAAATCAATTTTAAAATCAGAAAATAACATTGCAAATACTTCTTTTGGACTATTCAGTAACTCCCAATAAATGTGTGTTGTTCAAAATACAATTTTAAAATTAACAGCTGTTTTATTAAAAAGTATTATCCACATGACCAAAATGTAAACAAATCTGTGGGGGGATTTTTAAAGGCTTCTGGGGCAGAGCCCTAAGCGAATTTTCTTCGTTTTTCTTTTGAAAACTCATCTACAGACCAAGACCTTTCTTTGGACACCTCTACCAAGTTTCTACGCCCAGCCGTTCTCTCAAATTAGTGGATACAAAGTTTCCAATTAAATATTTAGATTCCCCCATGTTAATCTTATGGGAGGAAACTCAACTTTGATGGAAGATCCTGCCCAAACTAAAAAAGATATCAAAAAACGAAAAACACTTTGCAAAACTACAGATCAGGGCAATTTTTTCGACACTTTAATCATCAAAATCGGTCCAAAAATGAGGGAGGAGTTCTGTTCACAAAAATCGGCTTAGCGTATTATATATATAGATTGTTATTGTGTGATCTTTTCCTGCAATCCACCAAAATTGCTCCTGCAACCCTTAGTTTGTGGGTGAATTGGAAAATTCCGTTAAAGCATAGTAACTAACTAAGAGTAATAGATTTATAAGCCATAATCACTTATTACTTCCTCAATAATTAAGTTCAGCCATTTCAGCTTTGATATGGTATGTCAAAATGTCTGAAGTCTATAGAAACACCTATTTAATTTATAAAATACAGACATTTTTACCAGTTGAATCAGCAATGCAAAGTGCATTAAATTTTCATAATACTTCTAGTATAAGTGTGACTACCATTAACTTATTTATTCATTTATTAAATTAAATTTATACATTTTTAGGAAATAAAGTAAAGTGAACACTTAACTGCCGAGGTAGTTATAATTGATTTAAATGTCTTGCGAAGAGAGGAAATTAACGGAGAGTTTTACGAGCACTTTACAGAGAATGTAAATGAATCCAAGTGTACCCTAGAGGACAATCCAACCTTTACATTTAAGTCATTAAGATGGTTCCCTCAAGCATTGGCGCGACTTATTGAAATGTTGACAACACGATTATCTACGGCTCCTATGGGAATAAAGGGAATCACAAAGTTTTGGAAAACTATTGTAATAATTTATGAATAATCAGCCAACAATTTTGAGAAATTATTTAATTTTTCTTGTTTGGGAAAATTTAGATTTTGGACTGTATAATTGTGTGGGCTTTTGAATATGATTGTACTCCATCTGCCATGATTAAGTTTCTTAGCCAATAAAAACACTAGGTCTAAACAATAAAATAAGAGTAAAATGAAAAGTTTTTCAAATACATTAACTTTAAACTTATACACCTCTTGATTAGTCATCCTTATAAATCACCCAAAGACAATTTTTTACACCCAAGATATGTTTCAGTAAGGCGTTTGAACCGTACTGTATTGTTTTTTTTCTGCTGGTGTCTAGGGCAAAGACCCCCTTCACCCCTCGCTCACATGTACTACAACACTCACAGTAGAGGAAGACCCTGTGCTTTGTGCTAAAGGAAATTCTTCACAGTGCTTGCCGTCAAGGCTCTTTAATGCTGGTCACAAGTATATCCCGGCTCCAATATAGTGCTTAAAGCTAAAGCGCATATTTTCCCCATGAGCTGTAGCTTCTCTGTGCCGACATAAAAACAACCTTAAAGTTTAAAAATTGAATCATATGTCTACTCACAGTATCTAAGACTAATGATGAAACCCTTTATTATCTCTGGTTTATTGCCCTACTTATAGTTCATTTTCACCTGATTTGCCAAAGGTTTCCTCCACCTTTTGTAAACCATAGTTATTAGAGCAAAACCAAGTTTATGGAGTGTGTATGGGAACGGGGGTTTATGGGGATGTTTTATGGGATAAAAATTGGTTTTCCTCGTGTTTGACCCTCAATACATAAAATTTCCCGATTTCTTTTTAAACCATTTTAAAGAGCTTAAAAAACAAACAATTTAGTATTTTGAATTGTCTTTTTAGGGTTTATTGGTTATGGAGAAAATCAAATTTATTGCACATTTTAAATTCCCATGTTATTTTTATGGAGAACAAGTTAACTGTTATAGTTTGCTTGTTTATGGATATATTTTAATCAAACTTGGTAAATTCCTTTATTTTATACTCGGCTATTATTATTTCGCTAAAAAAAAACAACACTTTATTACCCTCCCTGTAGCAGCAAACTTAGGTATGTGTTAAACCTAAATGTTGTTTAAACAGATTTCAGTGAAAATTAAATCAGGTAAATGGAAATTCGCTTAGACTGCAGGTTTTCTGCAGCGGCTGTATTTAATTTTCAACAGATTTAATTTTGATTGAATTGAGTTTGACTCAAAGAAGTTTTCACCAACATTTGAAATTTGCCTAGTCATAGAAGAATCTCCTTTTTAATTCAAGCATTTGCCCGTTTGGTTGTAATTTTGTTGCAATTTTATGTACATATTTTCTTTAAATCATAGGTAAAGAACATCATCATCATCAGATCATGAAAGTAAAGTTGGCATTCAGGATTAAGATAGAAAAGAATACTAAAAAATGTTGCTGATCTAGAATATTGATAAATTTACATTTCTGTGTCAACTATTTTGTACCATAACAACACTTATCCTCATACGAAATCATGATCAAGATGGCATTAATAAATACTCGCTAACACAAAATCCATTTGAAAACCATTTATTATAAATAAACAAACAAAAACATTAAAATAAAGTAACAAAATTATACACTTAACAATGATTGATCGGTTATGCAGTTAGAATTTTCCGTTTGAATAATTTATCACATGCATATTATAGTGTTGAGGAAAACATTGTGGTGTTGAATGGAGCAAAAGTAACATTAAAACTGGTTATAAGGAAAGTCCTATAGCATTTCTATTCAACATTTTCTTTCCAGATAGAGTAAAATTTCAGTGTTTACAAAATAAATTCATACTGCTTTTGATTTCTTGAAGGAGTAGACATTCTCCTGTAGTAGCCTGTTTTGGAATATAAATACATTTAATTGAAAACTAAGAAAAACTTATCGTAACAGTAGAACGTTTTGTGAATGATTCATTCAATTATGTTCTTTTAATAAAAATTGGCTTAAGTCTAATGGTAGTCTAATCTAATTCAACATCCGAAATAAGTTGTTACTACAAATGTCAACAAAAATGTAGAAAGGCAAAAGAATAACATAACGAGAGACTTAGTTGGTGAATTAGTTGAAAGAAAAAGTCACATATTGTTACTCTTGCTGTCCAATTTTACCAGTGATGATGATGTCCGTGATGATGATGGTGTCCATAGTGATGTCCGTAATGTCCATAATGATGACCGTGATGTCCGTGGTGATGTCCATGGCCATATCCATGGCCATGATGTCCGTGATGATGATGGTGAGGGTAAGCAAAGGCACAGGCTAAAACAGCCAGGATGAAGAAAACCTGCAACAAAAAGAAGGCGTTTAAACAAATAGAAAATAAGATATAGTTACAGTGTAGTTCGGAGTGTTGATCTTGAAATATTGTTTGGTGTTCTGCAAGCAAGATCCTCGGTAAATAAATACCTGTATGGTGGCCACTGTTCTGCAATTGTCGCAAGCGTTGTGTAAAGACTGTAGCTGTAATAAATGTTTGTTGGAAGTGGTGGGGACATAGAAAAATATCCGTAGGGAAACTGAAGAGTTAGAAAGGTGCAAAACCTGAAAATTCAACACTAATAAGGTTTAAATTACCTGGCTTCTGTCATCGATCCTCGGTAGTTTTATGAAACTACAGCTGTTTCATGCCTATCACTGGCACATCTTCAGGTTTGTTGAACGCCAGCTTCTTTATAAAACATCCCTCGGTGTTGAGTTCGTCATGGTTACACAAAAAACATGTAGACATTTACACACACGAAAACGCGCACGAAACATTTAAACATTAATTAAAGAACGACTGCGAAACGTGATGCGGCGCCGGTGATGGATAAGTCGCGACTGTCCAGTGATAGGCATGAAACAGCTGTAGTTTCATAAAACTACCGAGGATCGATGACAGAAGCCAGGTAATTTAAACCTTATAGTGCTAATTTTAACGATCCAGTGGCCAACCATCATGAAATTGAAAATTCAAGTGGAGACAAGTTTAAAATTGTTAATGTGACTGTATAGACTTAAACTCAAGCCTTTAAATTAGAAAAACCCGTTTAATCAACATTAGCATAATGAAATAATTCAAACATTCAACACGCATCAATATAGACTAGTGCACCTGTTGCTCGAATTCGAGCAATTGCAAAGTATTACAGGTGTTATTTCAAAACGAATAACAGGCATAATTTCCGATGATTTAAAAAAGACAACTTAAAGATAATGTAATCAATCACACCACTCCAGTTATCGAAACTGAAAACTAACTCACTCTGAAAACGAACGCTCTTGTGTGTATCAAGTGTTTACCATGAACAGCAATTATTAGCACCAATATTTGTACCAGCAGTATTAGTACCAATTATTTGTCTGTTTAAGTAAACAAAATCTATTCTTCATAAGAATTATATTGGGATTTTGATGGCCTGTGGGGCAAAGCCCGAGGACTTTTATTACAGGAATTAGTGAAAGGGGGCGTCTACACAGAAAATAGTTCATTTTGACATATAGTTTGTAAAAATCCGTCCATTATTAACGGAGGAGTAGTGTTTCGTAGAAATCGTCTACATGTATTATATACTAGCTGTGTACCCGTTCTACGCACGGGGATCTTATAATATTCAGTTGAAACCTTCTTATATAACGAACAGCAGTTGGTTTGCATATTTTAAGATATGCTGGCCAAACTATTATACATAGCTTCATTTTATGTTGTTTTTTGTTGTTCCGGATCGGTATGACAATCAATAAAAGGTTAAATTACCTCTGTGTCTGCCGGTCGATCCTATAACGGTAGGCTTACTTTTATTTTTACTATCTGATCTCGTTTGCATGGCTCAATCACGTCCTGGTTGAAGTTCGTTCGCTACGCTCACTCACCTGTATGTTGGAGCTCGTTCGCTGCGCTCACTTTCCTTCAGGTTAGCTCGTTCGCTACGCTCACTTGCCTTCAGGTTAGCTCGTTCGCTACGCTCACTCGCCTCCAGGTTGCAAATTAGCTGTTGTCATAAATGTAAAAGAAATAATAGTGCTAGTGCTGCACCCTGTTGGTAATCCTTGTAACTTTAATGCTATTGAACATCACAGAACAGAACCAACTTGTTTAATTGAAACAGCTGTTAAGATTCAATAATTTCATTTCTCATAAGGTTAACATGGGCTTCCAGAAATTCCACGTCAAAAATCGACAAAAACTTGATTTTCAAGGGTTTACTGTTAAATATCTAACTGTCTCATATTCGATGAAATACGTCTAAAACCATCTCATATATGTATAGTATTTGGAAAATAAGTTTCAGGCGGGACAGTGCTATAGTTATTGAGGAGTAGTTGTAATAAAGTGCGTATTTTAGCGTTACCAAGAGAATGACAGATAGACAGACAGACAGACAGACAGACAGACAGACAGAAATTGAGATAAGGTTTGATTCGGTTTCTCTGACCTATGAAATGTAAAAATAACCAAAAAGTTCATTATTCTAAGCAATGTACAGACAAAACTCTAATTTTATTTATATAGATAAGGATTTCATATTTGACATTAAGTCTACTTACTTGTTCAAGTAATCAATACTCCTCAATTCAATGATTATGATTTGTCATCCTTAAGTAGACAATTTTCTGTTTGTATAATACGTCAAATGTGAATGTGTGTTTCAATGCTTTTATTTTGATATTTCACCAACTTTAAAACCTTCTGGATTCAATATAATAAATCTTTAGTCTTCTGGTGTTAAAAATAAAAAGTACAACACACACTATAAAATTTAACTTAAAAAATAAAACTTACTCAACATTAGCTTAAACATCGTAAATAGACTTCATGCTTAACATTCTAAACAGTAGTATGGTTATTCAACCACAGCTATTATAATATACTTAGAAATTAATTATAGTAGGTTATAGATTTTTCATCCTTATCGAAAGCTAAAACAAGATTAAAAAAACCTTGATGGTTCAAGCGGAATTGACTGTGCTCCAAGACTCGAGACAAGATAAGAAAACAGTACTAAGAACGCCTTCATAAAAGAAACGCAACAGCAACGCGGTCTGTATTGCGGGTATTGCAGAGACTTTCTGAAGGCGTTTTTAACTGTGTACATCTAAAAATCTGTAAAATCGGTTTATTCGGTAATTTGTTATCCGTTATGACCCTGGTCCCGTCTATTCCGGATATGCTAGGTGTTACTGTACAGGGTGGTCATAAATTAGTGTACACATAAATAAGCAGCATAGAAACATGCAAGGTCACACTAAAAAAACTTTTTAGTGTGGCCTTGAAACATGGGAATTGTTTCATTAAATAGCAAGTTTAAAACAGTTTTATACAGTAACTGCAAAAAAATAATTATAAAAATGTCAGCAATTATGAAAAGTAGTTATAAAAGACTGTCACCTAGCTCACTATATTAAGCTTTTGAGTATAAGCGTAAATATAAATAAGTGTTATAAGACGTTTCTTTTATTTACTTTCCGTAATAAATTATTATTACTACAGTATCATCATCATCATTATTATTATTAGTTTCCTCTTTTTTTTCTTGATAGTGTTTTGAGTGCCCCTGAATTGTACGAGTATAATAAGCCTGTGTATAGACTGTTACAACGAATTCCCATATTTTTTTAGCTGACTCGGAATTTATGAATTCAATGACGCTATCCAACAAAAAGGATAGCAAGACTAGAGTTTGGACCAGTGGTTTATTTTGTATTATAATCACTTCTTTATTCACTTAAGTTTTTTTTTATTTAGAGTACCTAACAAAAACAAAACATTAATAAAACAAAACAATTCAAAAATATTCAGATACAACCATCGCAACAATTTTAATAATTAATTATTCAGCTGAAAAAATTAATAGAAAGAAGAAAAATATGAATAAAAATAATTCATAACAATTTTTAAAGTATCCATAAGACTTCACAAATTGAAAATAACCGAGGGAGTTTTGCAAGAATGTAAATTGAGAAGAAAAAATAGTATAAAATTTGACTCACCAACAAACAAGCACGAATCATGATCGCAGTGGAGTAGTGGACTACTAGACGAAAAGTCAGGATGATTCTAAAAGCTCATTCACAAAACCTCTATTTATCTGGATAGTCTCCTTCCCCCCCTCATGTATTGTTTATTTTTTGCACGGTGTCTTCCTTAAGGTAATTCCAAGGTGCCCCACTCGGCTCACCTGTTTTGGGATCTTTGGGATAGCCCGATTATGAATCAGCCATGCGTGAGAAACTTTGCATTCCCCCCACCTCCTGGCACGGTTACAATACCAGTTTATACCGTCATGGGTAAGTTGGTTTCCCCGTTGTTGTGGATCACGTTCATATAATTTATTGAACTGTTCTTCACTGTTTTCCTTATCAAGTACGTTTAAACTATCGAGCCAGAGAAACCCCCATGATATTAGATGGATGTACAGAGTGACCAAAACAGCAAGTATAATAAATTTATATAATTTTGATTTTTAGAGGTGATTTCCCCATAAAACCCATAGTTTCCCAATGGAAAAGTGGATTTTCACAAAACAGCTTGAATGATTTTTTATTTAAAATTTAGTATGTTATTGCCCTTTTCACTCTAAACACAATGGTGAAACTCCCAATGCTGTAAAATTACTGTTCAAAAAACGATTGCATTTTTGGCGATTTAACCCATGAAATAGTAAAGTTACTCCCATCGCTTGCTCATTATACGGGATTTTCGACAAGCTAGCAGAGGAAATATATCAGTTTGCTGCTGATACAGTTTATTTATCATATTTTAATCAATAGACTTAGATGTTTTGGACATATTTCAATTGCACAATTTGGTAATGGCACGAAACGCTTACACGTAAACTGAAAAGTTTTATAGGTTGTTTTTGCACTTTTGGAAATTATTTACTTCTTAATAATTGTTTATAGACTGATACATTTGTCAATGTATACAGGGTGTATGAATAAAACAACATATAAACATGGATAATAAGGGGTAGCGGATTTTTATCCCCCTGGAATTTTACCCCCTGGGCAAACGTGACGTCACAAACCAGGGGGTAAAATTCCGGCCGCGAACTTTTGAGTTTCGCGACATCAGCTCGATGGATTAAACGCGGAATTAAACATATATTTTCACGGTTGTGAGTTTAATCAGAACACATCAAATTATAAAAACCTAGAATGTACGGCCCGGATTTTTACCCCCAGAATTTTACCCCCCGGATTTTTACCCCCGGAATTTTACCCCCGGAATTTTACCCCCCGGAATTTTACCCCCTGGCCAGATATGAATTAGTGAGAATGATTAATTATCGTCATTTAGTTTTAATATAATGGTAAACATTTTATTATTAAGTAGCCTATCTTAATTTATATGTTACATTAACTAATCAAACAGGGTTTTAATATTAATTTTGAGATTCGAGTGTCAGGATTCGATCTTTAAAGCCAACTGTTGGTTAGTATGATCAAAATAAAACAGCGAATTATGTTTACTTAGTTGAGATTACAAAATAAATAAATAAAGATAGGCTACTAAATAATGAAATGTTTACAATTAATTAAAAACAGAAATAATAAAATCAATCGTTCAATTTCTAAAATCAGCCAAGGGGTAAAATTCCGGGGGGTAAAATTCCGGGGGGTAAAATTCCGGGGGTAAAATTCCGGGGGGTAAAATTCCGGGGGTAAAAATCCGGCCCGTACATCTTCAGTTGCCTAAACGCTAGATATATGGACAGGGGGTAAAATTCCGGTTTTTATCGCTAATCTAATTAATCACGCTCTGACTATTTTCATTAGACTTCCAAATCCGCGGGGGTAAAATTCCGGCCGCGAACAAACTTTTGGCCACTCAGGTTACTACGTCATAGTGACGTCAGCTTTGCCCAGGGGGTAAAATTCCAGGGGGATAAAATTCCGGCGACCCGATAATAATACTAATGGATACAACGGCTGGTTTTCAGTCTGTATTTATGTATTTTTACAAATGTATCCATAACATTTGAACCCTTATATACTAAGAAACAATAACAAAAAAGAGGGTGTTTGTATACACCCTGTTTATTTTATATGCAATTGCAATGAGATGTTTATTGAAATATGTTAACTACGAGTTAACTTCCTTAAACGTACATTTTTCAAGTTTTTGTAAGATGCGTTGAATTTGATCAAAATATTTTGTAATTAAAATTAGCTTATAAAGCTGTATGCATTGCCAGTTGCAATATTCTAGCAAAAACATAAACTGAACGTATGTTTTTTTCGAGCCAAACAAAGTTAACCTTTTAAAGAAGGTGGCATTGACTTCTAAACAACAATGTTACAGGCTGTGACTCAAAATACTCTCATTCCAATTATACCTCACTCACATCCTCTGATGTACATTTTAATTGTAGGCCTACGCAATGGAAACCAAAGCAACATCTCGAGATATTAATAGTTTAACATCATTCGATGACATCATCATAATACGACAATAATATACATAAGACTATCCGCTTCCTGGTACAATTCTGGGGACAAACTCGGGTCCTCGGGTCAAGGACGACATCTTTTTCTAGATATACAGATAAACACCTAGATGTTAGTGACGTGTGCTCCCGCTATCTCCGCGTTCCGCCACCTCCGAACCCAAATCTGTCCCGCCACCTCCGAATTCTTGAGTGACCCTTATAATCCCGTCACTGCCTGCGTTGATAGCTGTCATTGCATCCACGGCTGCAAAGCCCCGTGGATGGGAGATTTAATGAAAATTTAACCCGTGGGTTAGGTTAGGTTGGGTTAGGTTGGTTAGGTTAGGTTAGGTTAGGTTAGTTTAGGACGGAAAGTCTTAACGCAGGTAGTAACCGAGGATTATAGGAGTCACTCTGAAATTCGGAGGTGGCGGGACGCGGAGATAGCGGGAGGTAACCGTTAGTGACACTGCCATTTCATATTGTAGTTTGCATTGAAAGCCAGTAAAACACTTTAAGCTACAAACGTTAAAATAAGAAAAATTCCAATAATATTCATATACCTACTATTTGTTAGTAAACGTAATAATAAACACAATAAATAACGGTAGATATGAAGTTTTCAACATAGGAAGTTTAATACTAATAATAGTTATCAAAAGGATATATTTTCTATTGTTACAGTAAAAATCACTTTTCTAAGAACTTTTCATATTATTTTACCTCTGAATTAAAAATTGCAAGACGAATCAAACGAAATAGGTACTAACAAGTAAATTTCATCACTTCGTACCGAAAGTAGCTATTTTCGATAACAGCTGATGCTGATATCAAAGAAAATACTTGTTTCCCAAGCTCCAATTTAGAGCGAGATGGATTAGTTCTCCATTTATTCACCACGCACGCTAGTGTTTTGTTAGGTTTATTTGAATGATTCAAATCAGCTGTTTTCATTGTTGCATGTTGCACAATCTAAATGTATACAAAACCAGGTACCCTCTTAGTTTTTTTGTCTGTGTTATTAGCATAGTGCGTGTTTGGAATTGCTCAAAACATTACTGCTGATTTGATGAATAAGGCCTCAGAGATAACTAAACTCTCTGCCAGAAAAATCACAGGAAGAATAATATAAAGAGGAATACAGGAAGTTTACAAACTGGTACAAAGTACAACATGTTGAACCAGTAAGTGACAAAGTATTAATATATATCTGAGAAATCTATACCCAATCATGAACCCATATACTTTGTAAAGTAGATTTTTAATGATAAATAATCATCTAAAACTTAAAGATGTAGATGGTTCAAAATATAAAAAAACTTATAAACGAATGAGTTATTGTCATAATGAAAATGGCATAGTAAACATAACCTTGGACTTCTAATTTTTAAGTTGTTTTGTAGGTTTGCTACGGACAATTTCCTTTTATTTTGACAATTAAAATTGAGAAACATAATAGTTTTTATACTAATCAGTGTACTGTGCTACTGTGTTTTATTATTCCGTTATTCTGTATGTATGTTGAATGCATTTTTGCGTCGTGATGAAAAGTATCGTTCATAACTCGTACCGAAAGCGAGTTTCCGTCACTTGCTCCTATTCCCAATCAAATAAGGCTCTTCTGTTAATCATGGAACTATCCTGAAATTGTCTTTAGGCGATTCATAAAGATGATTAATACACAAGAATCATTGTTTGGGTATCCCAGTGGTTATAGTGATCGCCTTTATGTAGGTCTCTGGTTTGATTCCAAACGTGATTGTTTTTAAGATACCGTTTTGGGCTATCAATTTAATGACGCTATCTAACAACAATTTTGACGTTTAGCAACAACACCAGGGCTTGGACGACTCCCGTAAAAACCTTAACTAATATCGTAGACACACTAATACCAAAGAAGTACGTTTAAGCTATGGTATTATTAACCAACGCTACATTACTGACAACCTCATAAGGAAACCACGTTAAGGACGTGAGCTAAATACAGATTTATACATTGTTTTGGGGTTTCCTCGTACGCCAACGCCGGAAGAATCTGTTTAGAATTGCAAGGTTCATCTCGCGTTGACCTGGGACCAACAAGAGGAAAATAAGTGAATAAATTAGTAGTGGGAAATACGGTACGCATTTTATGTGAGGTTAAGGTCACACTCCTGGCCTTTACGCTATGTCTTGTCTACTGTAACGTAAATCAATCTATTCTTTTATCCTGTTTATCGAGTTTAAGCTAAGAACGAGTGGAACCATTCCTTTAGAATGCTGGTGACTAGGCTTATAAATCGTTTGGATTAGATATGTCGTGAATTTTGTACTGTATTTAGTGAATACGCCATTTTGTATTTTTTACACAAAAAGTTTTATCTTTCGATTTTACAACCAACCTTAATGACACCTGGCATGTAAGTTTAAGGTCAAAGAGATTTTATGCTAGAGGAAAAATTAACTTGACCCAATTTGAATTTAAAAATGGCTGTTAAAAAAAATGCAAGAACATTGATATTTATCATCTAAAATTTCCCTTAAAACGACACCAAGCTGAAAATGACCAAATAACAAATACAGTACCTGAAATATCACGATTTCTAGTTGTGAAATGAC